TCAGCTTCAGCTGTACTTTGTGTTTAGTGCTAATTAGCAAATGCGGTTGTAGACTCCTTGTCCTTTTAATATCTTGTTCAATGTCTTGTTGAGAAAGTAATAAGTAGAAGAAAATAGGCAGAATTAGATATTTTAAATGATCAGAGATTTAATACGTCCTCATTTGTATATTCTGCAGGTTCATGGTAAATGGTACAAGAGCTGAGTGTTTGTTGGGAGCTCTCCAACATTCAACAATGTAGCCTGGATACTTACACCTCTGACTCATGCCAATAACTCTAAATCATGTCAGAAAAACTGGGACAGCTGGAGGCTTTGGAGCAGAATGTCTAGATTTTATTGGCTCACAATGTTCCTAAAAACATTGCTGAAAATTATACTTCCTCTTTGTTTGAATAACCACGTAGAACATGTTTTGTCGAAGCTAGGGAGTGGTCATCCTTTGGGGGGAAACATACTCTTACAGTATGTACTCCATTATGCTTTGTGTGCTCACAAGATGTAATAACTATAACATTTACCTTTATAAATGAGTCTAGGATTTAGTGGCATCTAGCGGTGTAGTTGCAGATTGCAACTCTGGCGCTTCACCCTTCCCGTTCAAGCGTGAAGAAGAAACTATGGTGGCTGCGAATCATGTGACAAACACAAACAGCCCGGTCTAGAGTCAGTGTTTGGTCTGTCTGTTCTGGGCTACTGTAGAAACATGGTGGTTCAGCATGGCGGCCTCGATGGAAGGTGACCCACGGCCTCTGTGGATATAAAAAGCTCATTCTAAGGTAACAAAAACACAACAATTCTTATTTTCAGGTGATTATACACAAATTAAAACATAGTTAGGACTATTATATTCCATTTGCTGATAGATCCTCCTATAAATGTTACACACTGGAGCTTTATTTGTGAAATCAGTTTTAATTTGAGTGAATCCACTCAAACAATGTGAGATCACAATATCCTCTTATTCCTTCAATCCTTTATCTAGCCTGTTAAATTACAGCGACCCACATTAAAGTGGACCAAAAATTGGAAATTGGAAACTAAATCAAAACGTAATTCTGCTATCTGAAAAGTGTGCTTATTAAACAAGATTAATGTTTCAGAGAGATGGAACTCTAGAGCACTGTTGTTTCATGGCTTTGATTGATTTCTGCGTCATGTTAGCGTTTTTCTAACAAAGTGCTAGAAAACCTCTTTTCTCTTAATCAGAGATGTGTGTTAGTAGTAGTGATTAAATTTTTCTTCTGTCCCAAATGTTCTGTTCTTTATGCAGCAACGATGGCTTAATTGCTTAATGTTTAAACAAACTCAACAACCACAACCTTACAATAGCAGTCATCCATTGCACTCCCAACCTGGACCAACTCTGTTTACACTTGCAACCAAGGAATTAAAATTGCTAAAATTCCCCGGTGGATCATCCCAACTAAGCAAAATCGTTGCATAATTAGTTTATGCTTCCCTGCCTAATGTAAAAAGCATCATTAAGCTTTAAAACTTCAAGACCCAAATTACCTTTTTTATACATGACTCAGAGCTTTTAAAAAGTGGAACAATATTAAAGTAGATGGAGATTGAGCCCACACAAAACTGTACAAATTCAACACATTGAAGCAGTTTCTTCACAACATTTAGATATGATTTACCTCCTAAGCATATTTACTAAAACCTCTGATCCTAAGAAGCACTCAGCTGAGCTCACCTCCCTCGCAGAGGTGAATTACACTAGCTCTAAGACTGCTTTGCTTTTAGGAAAGGTGAGGATATACTGTTCATGCTGTTATCTGCCCTGTCCTATTTGACCAGTCAGACCTTAAATCCAGTAGGACATTCTGCAAAAGAATGCTTAGTTTGACTCAGGCAGGATAGAGAAGGGGTTTGCCAGTGCCAAGTGTCTTAACAGCAGAGGCATCCAAATATTAATTAATAAAAAAATATATATAACTAATATTGTTTTGTCTGAATATTTCTTTCAATCCCAATTTTATTTAGCTTTCCACCAACACCAAAGGCTTACCGGTATGCTTGTACAAGCCACAAATATGTTTTGTAGCTCTAGATTTTTGGGGGGTCCGAAAAATGGCTCTCTTGATGGTACAGGCTGCTGACCCCTGAGTTGGTGCAATGAGAGTCACAGTCAAACTGCTTTGTTTGAAGCTGTAAAGCACCGTGCACAAGTGGTTGCAGCTGGTAGAGTTGAGACTGAGGCTTGTGGCAATGACAATGATGACCAGCACCAGGCAAGAATATAGACTTGAGGTTGGAGCTTGGACCAAGACTTGAGCTTCGTCATACTGTAATTATCACAGTTGTATTTGCCGGGCTTGTGCATGTGCATTGGCGTGATGCGGTGCAGTGTTGTGCCTGCTCGCTATGCTGCTGTACTCTGTGTTTGGGTCAGCGAGGCGCTACGTGTCCACCCTGGTCGGGACCAGGCTTAGTCTCCAGCCATGAGCTCTTATGAGGCCTGACAGCCTGTTTACCTTGGACGCCATTTCCTTGACGTTTCTGCATGGTTTGGCGCTGACTACCAGTTGATGGCTGGTGGCTTTATTGAATTAGCTCTGCAGCTACAAAGGCAGAGAATGAAGAAAAGAGACAAAGGAAAAGCTAGAAAGTGAGCAAAAGAGTAAAAGAAAGAAGAAACGGTTTTAAAATTGTAGTCTAAAAGCCATCCACCTTTATCTTTGACTAAGTGTGGTTTACATTCATGTTCTTTCTCCTGACCTAAACACATACTGACCCCTTACATTAACCTAAACAAAACGCAAACAGCATATAAATCCTGGTTGCACTTCAACACAAACTGGAGAGCAAACGCGTGCAACTCAGCCGCATAGAGTGGAACAGACAGATTGGGAAATGTTGGTTACTGCATCGGCTTCAATATAAATGGCTTCTCCTATTGGTTCCCTGCTGCACCACCTCCCCCCCTATCCTGGTGGGGTGTCTTGTACAAACTGCCTCTGGGTAAATATCACATACCATATTAGAACATAGTGACCCGATTCCTTAGAAAAGAGTAGAAAGAAGAGTATTCACTTAAAACAACATGTCGTGAACCAGAGGTAGCTTTATTCTGTCCCCGGTGATCTGCCTCCCCTCAGGTTAGATACACGAACAGGCAAAATGCATGAACATGGATACACTAACACACTCATCCAGATACACACACACTTTGAGTATGCACGGATGCATGTATGTTCAGTTCCTCTCCTCCATTCTCATCTTCAAAGAGAACATCACAAGGTGGTATAGGCACACATGGAGGTCTTTAGGGCTTTCTTGAGTAAAGGCCATTGTGATGAAGCAGCCTGTAAAATCACGAGTCAGTATGGATCAAATGTCAAAGAAATAGCAGATATTCTATGCATGTTAGTTTTGCTGCAACTCTTTCGAGAGACGGACTTCAGCACATCAGGGTGCAAGCCCTGACGTGTTCTATGCAATAACTCTGAATAAATAAAGCAGTTAACGAGAATAAAATTGCCCTCTTGAGAGTTTTCTCAGAGTAACATGTCAACCTCTCTGGTTTCTCTTTCCACTTATGGCACCACTCAAGATGTGCAAACCTGTGGGAGATTAATCCCCACCGTTACTCTAATCTACCTCAGTAACAGGGCGAGATTAAGGCACTAAAATGATATGGTGGAGCACATTACCACATAAAGATTATTCATCTGCACATTGATAATCCCCTTTGACTTTAAGTAATGTTAAGAGTGCGAATGTGCTGCTGAGTATTAAAGGCAGACCTACTTTTTAAATGTTCCGTGTTCTATTTATAGATACAGAGATACTTTTTTTGATGACAGCATTGCTGTGGGGTATTTTTGGCTTTAGGGTAACCATAGTAAGAAAGGCTTACCTTTGAATAATTAGCCAAATGAGCTCTTTGTTGGAGACGTTTTTTAAAGTAGTTAATGAGCCGTGCAGCAAGGCGTCTGCTCTCAACTTTTCAGACAAAAACACTTGGTAATAGATCCCTGGAGAAATCTCTGCTTTATTGTATTTATAATAAAAAAGTATATAATAGTAAACATATGAACTTAAAGCTGCAAATGGAAAGCTGAGTTCTGCATACAGACTGGAAGCAGAGGGAAAGAGCCAGCTGTGCAAAGTTTTAAAAAATCTACCAAAGCTTTTACACGTTACATCTGTTCTCAACTTTTTACAAAAAAAAGGGAAATCTTTTCTCAAAGGTATTTATAAAAAAAAAGAAAACATATTTGATACCACTCTCATGTCTGTCCGTTAAAAGTCAGAGCTAGGAGTCGATTAGTTTAGCTTAGCCGTAGTCTAGCATAATGGAATTATATGGAATTAATGACTGGGAACCAGGGAACGCGCTAGCATGGCTCTGTCCAAAGTGAAAAAAAAGGTGCACTTCTAAATCTCACAAATTAACATGTTGTATCTTGCCTATTTAATCTTTTTTCATTTTACTCCCTTGTTTCATCAAGAAACTATGGTGACGTGAACGCCCCTATATAGCACCAGTGTTTGGTTTGTCCCTTCTGGGCTACCGTACAAACATAAACAATAAAAACATTATGCATATGATATTCAACTTCTTCAAATAGATTGCCCTCAATGTTACAAAAGCTGATGGTAACATCTTAAAAATGCTTGTTTTGTCTAACCAACAGTTAGAAAACCAAAGATTTCATATTTACAATTATCCAAGACATATAAAAGCAGCAAACCCTCAAATTTGACAAGCTGCAATGAAGTAATAACTGACATTTTTGCTTTTTTACAACTTAATGCATTCTATAAACTGTTTGCAATTAATTTTCACACAAGTCACACTGGGAGTTTTCCATCAACTGGAAATTTAAAAACACTTGAAAGACCCGTAACCTAAGTCACCACAGAGGTGCTACATCCTTCAAGCTCAAGATTCAATGCTGATTTACCAAGATATTATTATTATTAACTAATCAGGGAGGGGAAAAAAACAAGTGTGGTTTTAAAACAAGATGGCAGACACAGTTGGATATTAGGCCACAATGTTTATTCAGTAGTGTTGTTTCAACTTATAGGTACAATACTGTCAGCTTTTGTAAGACTAAAAAAAAGTTACCATTACAGTCATCCATGCTCACAGAATGCCAGTCAAGTCGTTTACACCCCTCCTGTGTGTACACACCTGCCACATGCTCACCTCGAGCAAGTACATTTCCAAATGGTAGGCACTTTGAAGGTTTAAAACATTTGTGAATATACATTTATATATATTTATATATCTTTTCATATACTAATAAGCAATTGGACTCAAAGGTCAGGTCTCTAATAGAAAGAAAAAAAACAACAAAAGAGTGAAGAAAAAGAGAATGAGGAAACAACATGATGTGGCCATGGTGGAGGGGGTGGGGTATGAGAGGATGGTGGGAGTAGAAATACTGTGAGTCTTTGGGTTTTTCAGTATAGTTCAGTACCTTAAGTTCTATGACGAGAACGGACAACAAGAGACGGGGGTAAAGAGGATGGAAGTGGACAACCAAAAGGATCCTAGACAGACTGAAACACGAGGGATAAGAGGTAGAGGGATGAACAGCTCTGTGTGGGTGGTGTTAGGAGTTTAGACAATGTGACAGCATCTACTGTATCTACTTCACATTACTGTACAGCTGAAAAAGGCAACTTCACAAACCTGCCGGACAAACGTGTCTCTTCAGAGCAAGTTAATGTAATGTTAGAAAAAAAAAAAAGGAGAAGACAGTAACTTGTTTTTATTTGATGTAGCTACGTGGCTATTTTGTAACAGCTATTTTGTGGCCTTTTATTCGGTTTAACTCAATTGGGGGATGCAAAATGGCATCAAAACAAAACACCTTGTGGAGGTTTTAAACCTGGTAAACAACCTCATCTCTCAACAGAGGCTCTTTTGAAATGCCTGCGCCTGACTGCTAAAGAAACATGAATAGCCCTCAACGTGAGTGTCTTGTCAAAGACTATTCAGACATAACACTGGAGTCTTACATTTTCTGTGCAGCCTTATTTATCAGTCCCTCTGAGAGAAACTGGGTTTCGGGGCGGGGGGTTCTTGTGGGGTTTGCTGCAGAGGTATGTGCTCTACATGTGGGGAATCAGTCCTGGCCTGGTTTTATTTGCGTCCAAGCAGTAGCAGGCCTTCAGTGAGCAGATCTTTGGGCCTAAAAGCATCAACACTGGGACTCGGACAATAACACCAGGCTACCCGGGTGGCTCCATGCAGCTGAGAAAGAGAGTGAGTGGGGGGGAGGTGGGGGTAGTTGGGGGTTGACAACTCGACTGGCCGTGCTCCAATCTGATTAAAAAGAAGGTGGGATTGAGGGAGGTTAGGGTAAACAGAGAGGGGTGCTAGCAGAGTTTGGGTGCAGTCAGTAAACTCAGGGGACGCATCGGGGAGGGAGGTGGCTTCGGGCCAAAAACACCACAAGCCATGGAGAAGAAAATTCACCCCAAAACACTTTGTACATACACACAAAGCTGCAGGACAGCACTGGGAAGCAAAAGCAGTGATTGTGCAATGTGAACGAGAATGCATTTAAATAGAAAAGAAGTTCAGCGAGACATAAAACAGAAGTGAGATTTGTGATTTTTCTTGAGCCCTGACACACTTATTTTTATCTTTTAAAGACCTGGTGTGAAAATAAAATGCTGTCGAGAAAAAAAAAAAAAAAAAAAAAAAAAAAAAAAAGGCTACACCGAGGAGAGAACAAACAAATAAACAAGACATAATGATACGCTCACGCTTGACTAAAAAAACTGATGAGAGCAAATAATAAACATTGTAACCTGAAGGGAGAACATTTACATTGACCATTAACAGCGTTAATATGAAGACCAAAGAGCTTCATCAAAACTACAAAGGCATTTTTTTTAACATCAGAGAAAAGATAAATTAATGTAATACACCTTTAGAGATCAACATCAGACATGCTAGGACAAAAGAAAAAGAAAAAAATGAAAGTAGGATTGATACAGAATAATTATATTCAATTATTTCCACTTTAAATTTTTTTTTCTTTACAAATAACATACTGCTACAGTTAAAAGTAGTCAGCGACTAAAAACAGCTCCTTTGACAGAAGACAGACGCGATTAATTTCCTCGCCTTTACAGATCCTATTTTTATTTTTTCAGCCTTTTCAAATAATACACAAAATGTTTAAATACACTGAGATTCGCCATAAAATGAGAAATGCTTGGTTTTCATTTTTAAAAAAAAAAAAAGAAGAAAGAAAAGAAAAGGTCTTAATTACAATACTCTATGCAAAAGCTTTCCTTTATGCTATTTTTCCTTAAATCAAGTTGTTTCTTGTTGTGTTTGAACAGGTTCGCTGTTGCCATGGACTGTTTCTGACAGTCACTCGCGATTTGTCGTTCTGATGACGGGGAGGGGCCAACTTTTATGCATAAAACTCCTTGGTTGGGGCCTTCTGATAGGCTGCGCCGGAGGGCTTCCTCTCTCCCAGGTCATAGCTGCCCTCATCCTTCTTCCTCATGCGGTAGACCAGGAGGAGGATGAGGAAGATGGCGAACAGGAAGCCGATCACACCACCTGCAATAACAGCTGAGAGAGGCAGAGACAGAAAAGGGAAGGTAACTATCGATGCTCAGACTGAATGCGTCCTAATGAGTGCACTCTTCTATCTTGTGCAATCAATTACAACACACGGTTCATTTTAGCTGTATCTGCTATTGTTGTAAATTGTTGCAGCACATTTCAGTTCCGATGCCAGCAAATTATCAAAACTGAAGGCTTATATGTGGTGAAACTAAATGGCAGCCGTCGCAGCTGATTGTTGAAACCCTCAATTTATCTTGAGAGATACAAAAGTCAACCAGTCTCTGTGTCGTTTCACGTCTTCTAAGGTGTGTCCTGTTGGTGAGTTTAAAAGTTAGTGTTCCATTTATAGGATATTATGGCTCTGATCCTTGATTGGTACACAGGGGCGTGTTGTCCAAGCGTGGCTGAGTCGATGGTCTGTATTCCAATCAGTGACTGCCGACTGGGGCTTAAGAGGAAGAAGCTGATGGTATTGGTTCCATTGCTTAGCAGTCGAATAAATCCAATGGGGACAAACAAACAGCAACCAGTCCAGCATGACTTGAAGTAAATCCTATTTCTATTCCCGAATTGGCTGATAAATCTCATCGCAAGTCTTAAATATTGACAGTGACGCAGAAAGACACCCAGCCATAAGATCCTTCATTTCTGATGAGTTCTTCTGGTTGGATGATTATAAAAACCTTTCATATATAATATATATATATATATATATATATATATATATATATATATATATAGATAGTCATCCTTTTAGGGATGGAATCATTTTTGTAGCAGACTTTATTTGGGGAGTTTGTGACAAATTATGATGTTGGCACTGTAATGATATGTGCAAGAGGTCATGTTCTTGTCTGAGAAATGTTTCACCACACGTCTGGGCTGGGTATGTGGTGCCAGATCTGGTGTAGGGTGTTGTGGGTCAGGTGTGACCATGCATTGTGCCAAGCTGTGACAATCGTGCAAGGGTGAACTGGCTGATTTGTTTGTGGATATTTTCAAGAACTTGGACATCCTAGATCCATAAACCCAGCAGATATCCATGCAGGGCCGTCATTGTTGGGTTAAACTTCCATAAAGGACACGTTGTATGCTACACCACCAACAGCATTAAGGTATATCTGAATAAAGTCCACCTGGGCTGTATTAAGAAATGCCCCCCCCCCCCCTCCAGCTTTGACCCTGACTCTCCTCACTAATGCTCCTAACTCGCCACATGGGCCAATTTCACTCTCCCTCCCAATTATGCCTGTATGGGTTTTTTTTATAGCTTCCTAATCTGTTTAAGGTCTCTCCTGGTGCTACAGTTTGCCCTCTGCTCCACTTTACATTTCCACATGTTGACTGGCCTCACAGCCCCATGGGTAGAGATCATGGCACACACCCTGCTGCTGAGGCTCCAAGAAGCAGTAACGCAATGCAGAGCGAATGAAAATTAGATTATGATTATAGAAGTCATGAGGGAGATGAAGAGTAATAGTTATAATCTAGAAGAAGGGTAGGACGTGCTAGAGAAAGGAGAGATCAGCGAACGCGACCCAGGTATAGGATATATGTATTTACTTTAAGATTTATCCGAAGACTTTTTACAGGCAGTGCTCTTTCTTTCTACCACAGTCCAACAACAATATGCAAAAGATGAAACGAGACCATCAATAGGAGAGAGATGTGAGCACAGTTCTCATCTAACTGAGCCTGTCCTGATTTGTCCTTGTTGATGTTGTTTCTGCATATTGCCAACACCAGATGGATATCACAACAAAGTAAAAGTGAGGTGCCAATCAATGTTTGCTTCAGACACGCAGGGAAAGAGAGACGGCATCAGAGAGCACAGTGATTCCGAGTTTGATAATTTCCTTTCCACCCTCTTATGTATTCAAAGCGAGCGACACACACACTTGAAACACCCACAAGGCTGTGAACTCTGCAAGGTCCCACGGAGGGACGCAGATGGAGTTTATTAAAAGTAATTATTTTCAGAAGTGGTTCAGGTGGGGTAGACATTAGTCATTTTTTTCCCAAGATTTCCGAGACTGAGCTGAAAAATATCGACGTGTTGTAACGTATAGGAATTTGAGAAACATTAGACAGCAAACTAAATAAACACAGTTAACCAAAATATATTGGTTGAGCATCAAACTGAAAGCTCAAGTCTTCAAATATTAAAGGAATAATTCCACATTTTGAGAAATATGCTTTCTTTTCAAGTTATGAATATGAAGCTAAGGCTGAGAGAAGTTTAGCTTAGCTTAGCATACAGACTGGAATCAGGGGAATTGTGTAAAGGTAACAAAATCCCTCTAGCAGCACTTCTAAAGCTCAGTAATTAAGAAGTTGTACCTACGTTGTTTAATTTTTACATAAACCAAAGTGTAAAAACAAGGTGTGGTTTTACAGGGGGTTATGGGCCATTTCCCCCTGTTTTCAGTCTTTGTGCTAAGCTATGCTACTGGCGGTAGCTTGATGTGTACCATACAGACAGAGTGGTAACAATCTTCTCATCTAACTGTTAGCAAGAAAGCTAATATGTGCATTTACCATGTGGAATTATTCCTTTATAATAGCCCTCATTATATCTGGGCTCATTTGTCACATTAAAGAGATCTGGGCATTGCCTTTGATAAAAAAGTTGCCATGCAATCCAGCCGATGTCCAAATATATTACGAGAACTTAATTTAGAGCACAAACTGAAGTACAATGAGACACGTATTTCTACTATTCATTTGACTTAAGCAATTTCCAAAGAAGAGATGTCTTTATTACGACACATACCTGCCAACACCTCTGTCCTTTGGAAGAGGTTTTCAGTGCGGACCTCGATGGCCTCCTGGGGTGAGCCGGGGGCACTAGTTGTACTAGTCATCTGGTTCCTTTGCATGTCCTCTGTAACTGGCACTGGTGCCTGCATGAGAAGAAGGAAGACAGGAAGAGAAATAGAAGAGGAAGAAGAGAGATTAAGGTTGTTTTATTGCCGGCCGACTTTTCGCATTCTGTCCTCCAATATTCCTTTTCTGCGTGTTTAGATGACTTGAGTTCATTCAGGTGTTCAGGCATAATCCCTAAATTCCTCCCCTGGTACATTCATAACTTAATATTTATGAAATTTCTTGACATTTTGGGAAATATGCCTACGTTCTTGCTGAGAGTTAGATGAAAAGACTAATATCACTCTCATATCTGTCAGTTCAATAGGAAATTAAAGCCAGCAACAGGTTAGCTTAGCTTAGCATAAAGTCTGGAAACAGGGAAACAGCAAGCCTGGCTCTGTCCTAAAGTAAGTAAATCCACCTACCAGCACCTATAAAGCCCACTTATTAACAGGTTATATCTGTTTGTTTAACTACACAAAAACTGATCCGTAAAAAAAAAGATAATTTGTGGTTCTACAAGACTCCGGGATTCCACTGCACTTGGCCAAGAAATACTCCCACAACAAACAAGATATAAACAACTGAGATACATTGTGTTAATTAGTGAGCTTTAGAGGTTCTGGTTGGTGGATGTTGTTACCTTTTGACAGAGCCAGGCTAACTGTTTTCCCGTTTCCAGTCTTTATGTTAAGCTAAGCTAATGAGCTGCTGGCTATAGCTTCTTATACAACATAGACATGTGATGGGTATCAATCTTCTAATCTAACGCTTGAGAAAGCAAATAAGGGTATTTCAGTAATAAAAAGGTTTAACTTTTTTTAACAAAAAAGTGAGGGTTTCACTGGTCCGCAAAATGGAACCTGGCCAGTGAGCTATAGAAGCAGGTCAGAGAAAAAAATGGAACAAATCCAGATTGCCCAAAAAGATTAGTGGAAGGCTAAAAAGAAAAAAAATAGGCTTAAAAACAAGCCAGTGACCCCAAGGTTTTTTTTGGAGTCTAGGAAAAGAAGCAAAGTATCTGGAATGGACCTGGGCCCATGTATCCCATGCGTTTTTCCAATAACACTAGAGAAGGGAGCAAAGAACCAAAATGGAACAGAGCCAGTGTATTTGGCTAAGGGAGTAGTGGCAGGGGCAAGAGGAAAAAAATGGAACAGGGCCAGGTAGGCTTGGCTTAGAGGGTTGAGACCTTGATGACTAATCCCAAACAGATGTAGTATCCAGTACAGTACAGTAAGAGTACAACACAGAAGTGAGATCTAGGATGGTTCCAGAATATGTGATTATGTCCGAGAGAGATGTAATCCTCCATAATTTGCAATGGAGCGAAAACATTGAGAATTGACATGAGCACTTGATCTTTATCCTGAAAGCAACCTCACGGTTCCTGGTATTACTGGGGATTTGATGCATACTAGGTCAGGCAAAGACATAGCGAGGTACTGTGTCGCTCTCTGTCAAGTCAGGAAAGTAAAAAATGTGCCACCATGATTATAAATGATTTTAAGTTGCATAATGTCATAATATAATAAACTTGGTTACACTAAAGCACATGGCAAGAGGTTCACACTAGAAGACATGTAGAAATTGTTTATGGATGGGATATCTTAATAGATTTCTATATTTTTAGTAGTTAAACATACTTTAAAAAATTGATTGTGGACCTTTTAAGCCGTTTAGAACACCCTGTACTGCAATACATCAGGGCATTAACAGTATCACACAAGTTGTCAAGTACAAAATGTCTACTTAAATAAATAATTCAGCATTTTGGGAAATGTGCTTGTTCACTTTCTTGCCAAGTTTTAGAGGTAGATTAAACTCTCATGTCCTGAGAGAGAGATGTTTAGCTTAGCTGAAGACTGAAAGCAGGGGGAAACAGCTAGCCTGGCTGCTGCGTATGGGGCTGTATAACATTATCACCACCAGGGTGTCCAGGTGGTCATAATGTTATGGCTGGTCGGTGTATATAATCATCAGATTTTTTAAACTCTCAAATATAAATGTCGGTATCAGCCCCAAAAAGCCTGTATTGGTAGGGCTACACTTCTTACCTCTGTTCTGAGTGGTTTCCTGGGTGTGCTGTCCCCGGCCTTTTCTCTGACCGTGGCTGTCTCCACCCTTGGGGTGAAATCTTTGGTGGAGTCCTGGGTGGGTTCTGCTGCATTGGGCTCGATATAAACCACACTGACAGTCACTGTTTCCTCAATCACTTCTTCACCTCCACCTGGGAGAAAGAAGGCGACAGGTAAATAATGTCTTTCCATTAAAAGGGCAGGTTGCAAAACGTTTGCTCGGTAAATCTGCAGCACGTGTAGGGGCAATAATTCACTCAATTTATAAATAAAGTAAGAAATGTAAAGATTATTTTGTGTGTATGTGGAAATATGGGCATGTTATCAATATTTTATGCCCACAGTCATACAATTTGTCTTGCTTAACTTCACACTCTGTGGATTTAATTGTAATATATTATTTACAGTTTGAATCTCCTATAGAATACAGAGTGGCAAGCAGAGAGCTATTGATCACAGTCCTGTCTCCTTTCACCTTGCATGACCTTCTCTCACTGCAGTTAAACAACTCTCTCAGAAAGAAGAGTTACTTTTGACAAAGGAACGAGCGTTTTAATGGTGCTTAAAGCGAGTAGAGCAGAGAAGCTAATAAAATAAAGACATGTAAAATTTGCACACTTTGCTCACGGCAGTCTGGGTGACAAGGCAATCTCAATTGAAATCGAGGGAGAGAAAGAGAGGCGGTGAAACAATAGACAAAGAGAGTAAGAGAAAGGGGAGAGAGGTGGAGGAAGGAAGTGATGACACAATTTTAGTCTGCTGGTGAAAGATGGAAAAACGTAGTGTTCATTAAAACGTACCTGCAGACTTGAAAATGAATGTCATCACGCCTCTTAGTAGTTGCCTGCTGAGCTTGCTAGTGTATGTGTGTCTTTACCCAAGGCTGCGTGTGTGTGTGTGTGTGTGTGTGTGTGAGAGTTGTGTGTAAATGGGACTTACCTGAGCCAGACCCTGAGTTAAAGTCGTCATCATCTTCAGGGTAGTATCCTCCTGAGCCTGTGTCATCCAGGTACAAGTCATCAGTCTGAGAGGAAGTCTTGGCTGCTTCTGCTATCTGCAAGACAACAAGGTGACAATGTGTTGAGGGTTAATGCTGGTCTGCTTACACATGTCTATTTATAGAAGTCCATGTGAACGTTTTCATTCTGCACCACATCACAGCAACAAAGTGAAAACCTTTTGAATGTTTCCGCATATTTGCTGTTTACTGAAATCACGCATTGGTTGTTTCAGTATTCACCACAGACAGACACTAGACTCTCTGATTCTACATTTTAATTCTAGCATTTAAATCATTAATCGCAGCCTCTTTTGCTTTGACACGACACTTCAGTTGGTGATTATTTCTTTAATTGGCAAACATAAAATCCTTTCAAGGCTTGTATCATTAGTCCACTTTAAATAGCACAAATATTTCACTTTGTTATGTGTGTCTGCATAACAATCTGTCTCTTGTATCTGCTATAAAGTAAGATTTAGTGCACAATGCAGACACAAATGTTAAGCTGAGTGTATGGCCTTAGAGATAGCTAGTATCAATAGATCAGATCTGAGCTATAAGAGCTTCCCATCAAACAAGACTAACTGAGGGATGCTGTACTTAGAAACACTGGTACTTTGAGCTAAATGCTAACTTTAGGATCCCAACATGGATGCTACATTGCTGATGTTTAGCAGGAAGTTGTTTACCATGTTAGTTTAGTGTGTTAGCATGATAATGTTTGCTATTAGTACAAGAACTTGTGTCAATCCATCCAGGAGAGGTTGAGGTATTTCACTGGATGAGTGTAAACTCATCTTCAGGGAACCATGAATCAGAGTATGAAATGAATGGCAATGCATCCAATAACTGTCGAGCTATTTCAGTCTGGTCCAGAGTGATGTTCAGATCAACGCTGCCATCCCTAGAGCGACACTGCTAGAATACTCATTCTATGACTTTAATGAAGTATGGCCACACAGGTAACTGTCCAATCAGAATATGTTGCCTCTCCCACAGCATCGTTGTCTAGACAACAAGCCTGAGTGGTGGGAATGTTTGTGTTCCGGCTTAATGGAGTGATTGGATGAAAAGACCACAGTTTAACAGTGCCTGTTTGTTCTAAAGGCACCTCCTCGCATGGCGTATAAGTTGGGGTTTTAATGAGAAATAAGATAATAGAATTGAGTTTTTGCTCTAAGTGCCTTTCTAGAGGCAGATGTATATTCGACACTTAAATATGACAGCTGTTAGTGTGTGTAGGGTACACGTAACTATGTGTTGAGTTGAGTGTGTGTGAATAGCTATAAATGCATCCATGGTAACATCCATTCAACTCCTATTCTGTGGTCAGCTTCTATACTGATAGTCTTGCTTGAGAAAAAAAAGAGAAAGTACAAAAGAGACCCCACAATATATCATCCCTGTGTGTTTGTGTCTACTGCACCCATTAAGCTGGTTGCTACAGTTCCTGGTCTGCTTTTAGGATGCTGTACCGATAAACCTGAGGTTGAATAAAGTTGGACTGGAGGAAATAATCAATTGGCTTGGCAGGAAATAAATGTTTTTTGTTAACCTTGAAGAACAGGCATGCAAGGGAAATAATCTCTTTCCTGTTTTATACATTATTTGTTTGGACGTGACTTGTAGGGTATCAGTGGTTTATATTTTTTCTTATTATATGATGTGTTAGGTATTGCTGAAGTTAAAAATAGTTAATAGAAAAATCCCATCATAATTTCCTAGAGATCAACATAGCATCTTCAGGTTGCTTGTTTTGTGGCCAGCAGTCCAAAGCCCTTATACATTCAATTTATAGAGATATAAAACACATTTGAGAAGCTGGAACAAACAAATATTGGGGCAATTTTGCTTGACAAATGACTTTAATGGTGAACTGATTATCCAAGTTGTTGCAGATTCATTTGCTGTTCACTTAATGGATGAATCAACAAATCATTTTAGCACTAAAAGCGAGAGCAGAGAAAATGTCTTCTTTCAGTTACACCCCTGCTGCATCTCAGCATTTCCAATTACTCTTAGTATTCTGATGTGAGTGTGTTGAGTAGTGCTTTTAAGTCATTGTATATGCATATGTGTGTTTGTGTGGAGTCATGAAAGAGAGGCCGGGCATTCTCCATAACAAAGAAGCAGGGAATACACACAGCTTACAACTGTGTGAAAAGGGAAAAAGAAAGACATGAGAGATGAAACACAACAATACGCATCTCCATCTCCCCTCTCTCAACTGGCTCTGACTTTTGTAAGAAAGGCCTTTCACCGCTGAGCCGCCTGATCAAAGAGAGAATTTGTTCAAAGCAACTTTATCTTAACCTTTCTTGCCTTCTTCTCCTCCAAACACAACCCCCTCCCCACCTCTAGAGCAACAGCCGGCAAACCAATTCATCCTCCCATGCGGTCCACAGGTCTTAATGCATTGGTGATATGAGCACAATGAACCAAAAGGAGGGAGGCCACAGATCAAATGGTGACAAAGGGCACTAATGAGATAGAGGCCACACACACATGCACGCATGAGCGGACAAGGTTTACAAATGTATGCAAGCATTCATTGATTATGCATACACACACATTAGAGTGAGCAATTGAGCATATAACATGACATCGCACAGACATGCATGGAAACGTGTGAAGAAATGCGTAAAGAGTAGTAACGTAAGTAAGTACGAAGCTTTAACTGCCCCTTGGGCCCATTAAATGTAGATTTCAAAGATAATGTAATTATAATGAAAACACTTTCTCCTGACTTGTTAAATGAATAAATGGATGAATATATGCATAGTGATGCACAAGCAGGTAGCTAATTTGGTTTTATTTTTTCTTTCTTTATCCAAGAAGCCCTTATGATACAGTATAAGGGCTGCAACTAACGATTAATTTAATTATCAATTAACCTAGTGATTATATTCTCAATTAATCATTTGGTGTAAAGAATGTTAGAAAATAGTGGAAAATGACAAGCTCCCAGAGTCCATGTTAGGCTCTTGAAATGGCCTGTGTTCAACCTGTAGTTTGAAAACCAAAGATATTCAGTTTACAATCATATAAGACCAAGATATGAAATGCAAGTGCATTGTATTTATGGTAGCGACAGAAAGTTTACAGAGTTCACAAGATTTTCTTTCTTAATGGAAAGAAAAACGCCAAAAAAAACACGAAAGCATCTCACAAAAAAGACCTTGGATATTATGCACCCAGACAAACAGAAGCTCAGTGATAGTAGGACCTGTTCATTTCAGACCCCTTTGTAATCTTCATGTTTCAACAGTTTGGACAAAGTGTGTATGGATTAGAGAGGTTCAACTGTACAAGCACCACGGCAACGCCAAATCAGTGCAGATCTGAGAGGAGGAAACAGTCTGTTTGACCTCGATAAACTTCACTGACTTTATCGGACACACAGGGACATGCACAAACTAGCAAGCATGCGTACACAATATAAACTTGATAAAGCTGACTTTCTCTATCACCAACACACACACACACACGAGCCCGATAAACTTCACTCTCTTTATCAATCCACTGACATTTACAGGTAGTCTCTGCTTCTGGGCTTATCGGACTCTGAGCTGAACCAGACATCAATCCGCCGACAAGTTAAGCAGACTGGACACTGAAAAACCAGTTAGCTGACAGATGCAGCCCTGCAGAGGACCCCACTTTTATAAGGTTGCTTCGCTATGGCAGTGGCTGCTCTAGCCTAAGGAGCAATTATCTGAAAAAACCCTGCAGCAGTGTTATTTGGAGAAGGGCAATGAGAGCTTGTAAAATGGATCTTGTTGGAAATATCTAATTTAGCAACTTATCATTTCTTTTTTGGCGGTGGATGTTCTCCAATGATGGAGAACAATTTCTAAATCCCATCTGAAAAAGTCTACTGACTCATACCTCCTTAGTTACCAAAACCTCATTCACTAAATATAAAACCTAATGTGATATTAAAGTTTTGTGAATCCATTAAAATAAAAATTTAAGACGTGCAGTAATTTAGTTTTGAATCTTAAGTAATAAGCAGCCATTAATTAATGTAAAGTAATTATTGTAGCGAAGGGATCTTTAACTAAGCTTTCTGAAGGCTTACTGGGTTGCTGTATTGATAGTAAGACTGTTGTATATAGTTGGCGAGGAGGATATGCTGTACAGTACTGTATGTCACATTATCATGTGGAAATTGAGGCGCTTGTTTGACTTTTATCAGTGAAAAAAGTACACAGAAAATCAATGATAATCCACAGTAATTGTTAATAACTAATCTTTGGTGTCTGGTTTTCACTGATTTGTAATTTCCGCTAGTCCAGTGTCCTTCTTCCGTGGAAAGAAAAAAAAAAAAGAAGAAGCCTTGGAGCACTGTGGCAGAGAGAGAGAGGAGGCAAACATCTCCTGAGTAACAGTGCATGTGCAGTATAGTTTAGATACACAAAGGATAACATTCTCAAAGCGACATGTCGCCTTGGTGTGCAGCAACACAAAAAAAAAAGGGAGGCCACGTTCATACCTACATTAGCCCTATGCAAAGTCGTCCATCAAAAAAGTTTAACCCGGCTCAATGTTTGCTGCAGTGTTGGCCAACCAAACTGGTACAAACACTTTGTAATAATAACGCAGTATTTCTGCTGTTTACCCAGAGTTGTATCATCTTTCATAGTATTAAAAAGAGGTTTTTTATACAGTGTTATGGTGTCTGATAAACATTCAAACTCACAAATCTAGTACTAATGGTGTTTCATTGTGCACTCCACTAACGCAGCTCGTTGCATTCTTATTATGGAATGCAGTCACATCACTGATCTCTTGAACTTTAAAAAGTCCAGTGTGTAACATTTAGGAGGATTTAGTTGGCAGAAATGGAATAAAAATAGTTAAAGGCATGTTTTCATGAGTGTATAATCACCTGAAAATAAGAACTGAGGCAACCATGTTAAACTGCCATGTTTATACAGTAGCCCAGAATGGAAAAACCACACACACACAAAAACACAGACACACACACACACACAGACACACACACACACACACACACACACACACACAGACACACACACACACACACACAC